CCACCCAGCCGGTAGCTCTGTGGTTAAAGTACTTGCCTTTGAAGGAGGACATGAAGCTGCAGTTCCTGTCCCAGCTGGAGGGGATTTGGATCCGCTAACAGAAACCTCCTGGGGCTGTAAGTTTTTTGGGCTTGGCTGTCTCCCTCCCTCCCTCCCGTTGAAGCTGTTCCAGTTCTGTGGAGAGAGGCTGCCATTTGGGGAGCGCTTTGTGTCCCGGCCCATGGGGTCTGACCCCCGGGTCCTGCTCCACCGAGGGTTCGAGGAGCTGGTCTGCTGGTGAAACTGGGACTGTGGGGAGCTGATACACTCCAGGGTAGCCCTGGGGGGTAAATGGGCTTTTTTGAAGGTTGTCACTTGCAGTCCTTCCAGAAGCAACTAGCAGTGCTTAACGTGGATGTGCTCGGGGGGGTCTAGCTCCCAAAAGGTTCTTGAGAGAGTGTCTGGATTGGAGATCTGGCTCTGCTACTTTTTAATCAGCCCTACAGGGGGAGAATCTTTAGAAAAAGAGCCTAAAGGCATTCTAAAAAGGTAGCAAAATTTCTCTAAGCTAGGTATTTATTATTCTACCCTCTTGAGAGTGTTAACTAATGACTTGAGCTACTGCAAGAATCTGTTAGGTGAGATCAGCCTGGCCAATTAACTTCAGCTAGCTGGGTCCCTTTGAAACACACACCACGGTCACTAGAAAACCTACTAAAAATAGTTTGTTTTGGGAGAATCAGGATATTTATGTTAGAGAGAGGAGAGCGAAATGGAAATGAAGACAGCGATAAAACCCAGAAAGTGTCATGTGAAGGGCAACAAACTGGGTTTCTAACGATTGCACCTTGATACAACCTTACGACGGAAAACACCAGGTTTGTTGTCATTTAAAATGTTTTATTGAATCGTGTGATGAGCAGAGTACAAGTTATTCTGAAACTTTCATGATGACCACATCAAGGAAGTTTCACTCCATTTACATGTGGAAGAAACCACACATTACAACTCAATTGTTTTCTTGCTTTCCACAGACCATAGATTTTGGGAGCTTGCCAAAAGCATTGCTGCATTTAATAAGCAAAATCAGAAACACTGGGCAAACCTCCAGAATTTCATGTTTTGCTTGAGTTCTCTTTATTTGTGGTCTTTCTTTCTTTCTTAATAATCTGGCTGGAGTGATGGTATAATAATTTTCAGACAGAACAGTAAAATACGTAGTAGTAGACAAAGAAAGAGTGGCTCTAACAGTCTTCAAGCAGCATGTAGGAATACAGGCCTGTAAATATTAAAGGAACTGTAAAGCCCGTGCATTTTGTGTAAGGGCCACAGTATGCTCTGATGGCTTTACTCATCTTGATTGGTGTCTCTCTATTCATTCAGCTTGAACTGAATTTGTACGTCTGTTCCAGACATTTTCTTCTGTCAGCTGGCTGACTATTTGGCATCTAGAATTTACAAATTGAGTGTTATCTTTATATAATATAAATATATAATATTTACTGAGCGGTAGGCAGGTTGGTGCATTACCTCCTAGGCATTTTCTAAAGATTCCTCCTTGTGCCTCCTTCCAGCACTTGATGGTCACAGGTCCTTGCTGCTCATGTGGTGGTAGAGCTCCTCCTTGTTTGCAGTGCTAAATTGCTCTGGTAGATACTGGTGATAGAAGATACTGGTGCTTTTTCTTAAAGCTTCTACTCTGGAGCCATTTGAGTGGTTGTTACATGCTTTTGGTGTGATTGCAGTGGGACAGAAGGCAGTTCACAGGATTTTAAAGAGAAGGGGATGGATGAACAAGGCAATTTCTGTCAGGATGTTAAGTCAGGGTAAGCTAAATTGGAAGATCACCTTTTTTTTTCTTTCCTTTTCTTTCCTTTTTTTAATAAGTAACTTCCCATTTAGCATACTCTGACATGGCTTTCTGGCTTGCTTAGAAAATAAACTCGCTCCTGTACAGTGCAGTATTTTATTTTCCTTCTGTGGACTAGCCTTAAGAGATGCAGAGTAGAAAAATATTTGATGGTTAAGCAGTATTCAACCAATCCAGGTATTAAAACAACAGAACACTTTATGTAATGTAGTTAACAACCTCTTTGGGGTTTTCCTAGAGATCTGATCCTGTAAGCCATTCCTGTTTGGGGCAGAACCTGCTGGAGTGCAAGAGTATTTGCAGTTTGTAAAGAAACAGTGTATTTGCTTTTGTAATTAGCCTTGCTGATACCAGTCACAGTAAAAAGTATCAGAAAACTCTACTTTTAGACCATTTGTGAAATGATCCCTCTGGCAGACGGGAACTTTGATAGGACACTAGAAATGCTTGCAACTGTACGGCATGGTCAAACACTGGTCAGGATGCCTGTTTGGAAAATAGTCTTCTGTTTCATGTAGAATAATGGCTCTGTTTGTTCTAGGTGTTAATGCAGATGCTTACTAACATTCAAAGAAATTCTAGATGTTACTGGATGGCATAAAAACGTGTTACTTGGTCTAGCATTTCTGCACATAGTAGCTGTAATTCTGTACCTTCCCCTCCTCTGCCAAGTGTGGGGAATCATTCAAGAATGATAAATCACTTCTTCAATTTCTAAAAAATTATCCTTGATCCATCTGCCCTTTTTTTGTGTGTATGTGTGTGTTTGGGTTGTATTAAAACCAGTTTCAGCATGAGGTTAGCATGTGTCATATTTCTGAGATGTTATCTTGTCCTCTGCCACAGCTTCTGCTATCACAGATCTGGAGAGGATGCTTGAATCACTTGAAAATCTGTATGATGCTGTTGATTCCTTACCAATGTGTGTAAAATTATGGACTTTGCTTAAAGGTTTAATTCTTTCATCCATTAACTAGTGTAACTTTTTAAGTGTGCACATCAAAAGAACAAGCAATAATAATATTAATATAAGACTGTCTTTTCAATGACAGTTCCCAAGGATGGTCTCAAAAGCCAAGCTGCATTTGAAGAAATGAGGGCAAATTACATTAAAGAACTAAAGAAGATGGTAACTAAATGTCCAAGTAACTCTGGGCAAAGCTGGCAGAGATTCTACCAACTGACTAAACTACTTGACTCCATGCATGATGTAAGTATAACTCCTCAGGGAGTGCAGACAAGTTAAGCAAAAAAACTCTCCATTAAGGTAAACCAGTAGTCTTTAATTGTCTTAACTAACAGGGAGAAAAAAAAATGAAATTCTTTTTAAAGGAACATCTGAGAGAAGTTGTTAGATGAATTTAAGGACAACTGCCAAGTAAAATAAGAAAATAGAAGTCATTAAGGGCTGGGTCCTGCTGCCTTCTCTTGTGTTAAATGGTAACGTGTTCCTCCAATGATTCACTGAAGGTCGGTAGAGCTCTTAGTGGGGTCAGAGGCTCTTCAAGCCGAGACCCTACATTAGATGCAGCACGAGTGCGCCACGCAGAGCATCCCACGAGTCCCTTCTCAGTGAAAGGTGCCGGGTTAGCGTGTCGCGCATCTAACATGCCTGATGTGCTGATAAACGTTGAATTAATTTGGCGATCTTTTACAGCTGGGATTGTAATAGTGATGACTTTAAAAGACGTATTAAGACCTTGGAGCCATCTTGGGTGTTTGAAGCTTTATTTGAGCTTTTCAAGTATAAGATGCACTGTCCTGTTGTTGGGTTATTTCTACCGCCCTGTCTCATTCCAGTGAGAGCTGTTTGCTTTACATGCGTCTGGTGTGAGATGTGATGAATGACATGGGAAACTAAAAGTTTAGTCCCAAAACACCCAGGCTGTTGGTGCCTCAGCCCGGAGTGACTCTGAGGGCTTGCAGTAGGTGCCTAGTGCAAGGGACCGGCTCGCGATTTCAGAAGGAGCATCCGTAACGTGGAGCTGTTGAGTTGGGAGCAACCCGGTTCTAGCCAGGAAAATGCTAAGTGCAGAGATTTACCTCTCCGGATGCTTTGAGCGTCAGCAGGGGTGTATCTCCGTGCTCTCCGTAACGGAGCCTGGAGTCCCCACAGAGGAAGCCCAGCTGTAATGGTCTCCTCGAGCTGAGGGGTCTTCCCCAGTGCCCCTTGAGAGTGCCGGGGTGGGCGCCTGTCCTCTCTGAAGCTGCGCCGTGGTGCAGCACGTGACGGGACACTCGTGGGGCCCGTGACAGCGGCCTTTAGTCGTGTTTGGGTACAAGAGCGGAGGGGTCCCGTGAGCAGAGGCTGAAGCCCAGCAGCACGCGCTGATCACCTCCCAGTAAAAACTGGTAAACTGCAGCAAAGGGGAAAACTGTCCTTCTCCATCCTGGGTGGGCAGGGAAGTAACTTTGCTGCATGAAGAACCTACAGCACTTGCTTTCAGAGCCTGCATATGAATGTACTTCTTTGTACTCGACTTAAATTTCATTTTTGTAGAGACAGTACAGTACAGTGCACTTCAGGTCAAATCTGTATAAGAGCCTGAGGTCTGTTTACAGAACGTACATATGGAATTATTTTTCAAATATTGTTCTGTTGTTCATTAAAACATTGCAAATCTTAGTGGGAGGCAGGGAGAGTATTATTAGTACTGCAGTAATAGCTCATTCTTCAGAGATCGGGTTTCACTTGCTCCGTGCCAGCAAAGGAAGTTGTAGTGTTTTAGTGGAAAGAAAGGGGATGGGTGATAAAATCATTTGCAAGATACTCACATCTGAACCTCAGGGCAGCGTAACAAACCCCTGCATTTATGGAGTTTTCTGATCCTCTTCAGAGTAGGCCGTGTCTATGATTTGTTATTTAAATGGGTGTGTTTGTGTGGTTAAGGTGACTGGATGACAGACTCATGCTTACTGAGAACGCTACCATGTCCTACAGACATTTTCCAAAACACAGCATTAACCATTGGGAGCTGAACTAACCAGAGGAAGCAGACTGCTCTTGCATTTTATTTAATTTTTAATTAAGCTATTTTTATATTGCTTTTGTTTTAATAGAGCACTTTCTTACAAAGGACTTTTTAAAGAAAGTCCCATTGTCAGCATTCTCCGTTAAAAGGGCTGGTTGTCTGCACAACAGTGCTTCCATTCAGAGATGGTATTGGAGACTTGTTCAACAAATGGCACTTGTTTATTTTTTCTCTTTAAAACTAATTTTTTGCTTTTTGGTTTATGAAATCCATCAGAATAAATTTAGAGTGCTGATAATATTAATGAGAAGTGAGAATTACTCTTCTCCCCCCACTGCCTGTTAGTGCAGAATTTCTCTGTTTTATCACTGTAAATGCAAATTGTCTGCTCGATTCCTTAGTACAGGAGGAGCACTTTTTCAGCTGTCACCTATCTATTTTTAACTTACTCCATTATAATTTTAGAGGATCAGAATATATTTGGTGCTGAGCGGTCTAACTGGAGCTGAGGCCCCATGTTTACATGCTGCTGCAGCCACAGCATTGGCATTTGCAGTGCAAGCCTGAAGGAACCGGTGCAGAATTCGTGCTTATTCAGCCCTCCTGCTGCCTCCAGCTTTTCCATCAGAGCAAAGCAGCATCTCATCATTCGTGGAGTTCGCTTTACCTGAGTGTAGCGATAAACAATAAAAAAAATACTGCTCCTTCGCACCTTCACACTTGCTTTCATCGACCTCATTTTTAGGTAGTCTTTCTGAGGACTACGTGAAATAAAGCGCATGGGAATATCAAATTACAGTCTGCTTGGCTTATATAATATGAGGAAGGAAAAAAAAACCCCAAACAAGATGGTTTTACATTGCTCAATATACTAAATCATTCATCCACACAGCGAACATATGTGCAGGTAGAAAAGTGCCGAGGCGAGGAAAAAAGAAAATTTTCAAGAAGGCCAGGTAGGCACTTAAGTATTTGAAAAAATCAGCAACTTTATTTAATGATCCATAAAGCCTCAAAGCACCAAAAGCGCAACCGAAAAATGAGAGATCGAAACCCATGCCGAGTAGACGAGGTAAACGCGGTTTCACGCGTGTTTCACTGCAGGCTGCCCCGTAGTTTGTGTCACTGCTGCCGGGCACTGAAACGCTCTCAGTTTGCATGGTGCTGTGCGGAAGCAGCGGTTGCTGATACAGCAGGCGCTGGCCGACGGCGTTGGTCCGGTCACACAGCGCGCCCTTCCTCCCCCTCGGCACGAGACGACAGAGGCGAGTGGGTTGTTGCCATCGACTTGCTGTTGTGCTGTGGCTCAGTCTTGCTTGCGCGGGCGGACCCCAGCGTGGGTACCTGCTGGGAGCGCTGAGGGCAGCAATGTAATCGACGTATTTCCTTCTTGTAGGGATTGTATTTGTACTTTGACGGCTGGCCTGCGTGCATCATTTCACAAAGCAGCGTTAACGCGTTGAGAACCGTAGCGTAGCAAGGACAACCGAACTCTCTGCCCAGGACACAAAGGTTTCGGTCTTGTGCCCACGGGTGGCCGTGGGCATTTCAGGGAGAGATGCATATGCAGCGCTTGAACGTAGGTGAACTGCGTTATGTGATCAGACAAACGGCATGCAGGAACATTAGAAACAGATGTACTACACGTGGTATCAAAAACTTCATTTGGATCCTCCTCAGCATCTCCTGTTGGCTTTGGCAGGAAAGGTCGTATCTTGCATGGCAAGCCTCTTTTCATATAGAGAGCGTAGTGTATGGCTAGGCGGTTTGCAGAACAAAAGCTGAATTTGGTTTCAATCTGGCTGATACTAAACAGACTTTGAGTTAAGAGGGCTTTTGTTTCGATGCCATGACATTAAACCCTAATGTGAACCTTCCCCTTGTCTTGGCAAGGCAGAGCACTGCACTGTCATTTGCTTGTTGATATTTTCTGCCAAACAAAAATAAATTCTTTAAGGCTCATGCTGCTGAATAATTAATTTTTTATGGTTCCTGAAGGGAATACTTTATAGCTGAGGTGGATCTTTCCATAGGCTGAGGCTGCCAGGATTACGCTCGCTGAAAAAGCTGACAGTGGGAAGAAGGGCACAGTTCCTCGAGGGGCAGGTTTGCAAGGCACGCTGCGGTGGATGCAAATGTGCCGCTGCAGGTGCTTAATCCCAGAAATACGAAGCTGCAGATGAGCCCATCGGCTGTTGCCAACACCTTTGGGTGCGCTTACTCCTGCTGTTGATCTGCCAAAGTTGTGTCCCACAGCTGATGAGTTTTTTGGAGCCATGTTTTAGTCCCAGTGCCTGAATTCTCAGAGTAGGCATTTCCTCTGTTTACTCAGAGGCTAGATCCAGTCCCTACTCCCGGTGTGGCCCCTACAAAAGCAGCAGCAATGTAAGAGTGTGCATGGGTGTGTGTTGCAGCAGCTAATACGCGTCTGTCAAGTGAGAAATTGATTCCCAGCTCCCTAATGTAGACAAGGGGCTACTCTGAGGGTCATCTTGCTTGGTTTGTGATGGTTGGATCTCTTCTGCTTCATGTTACTAGGTGTTTGTTGGAGGAGGGTGGAACCCCACTACTGTTGACAGAAGAGCAAGGGAGACTTGGCTCAAAATTTGGCCAAAATCCTGGCCAAGGGCTGAGGATGCTTCATTGGTGTGTGATACTGTGGGTTTGCATGCATCCTCCAAGCATACAAAATGAGTTCAACTCAGGTCCCTCTGTGTCATGTCCAGGTACCGAGTGCTGTGGTTTTGGTGTGCACGTTTATGAAGAAAACCCGAAGAAATTACTGCAGTTCTTAAATCAGATAGATGCACCTGTCAAGGCAGAACCAGGTTCCACGTTTGCTCTGGTCAGATACTGTTAGTGCCTAATCCATACGCATTTTATCCACCTTTTACTCCTTGCTAGCGTGAGGTAAATACACTGCATAGGTGGAATCAGAGGCTTCATCCCTCGGTCTTACCTCTTTTTCCCCATGTTCGTGGGAGGTTTAACTCTTTGGGTTAGAGTTCAAGATTTCATAAGCAGCTAGGAATTAGCCACTGTGGCACCAAAGGACATCTGTACCTCTGAGAGTCAGCCTGCGAGCCATCCCAGGGCGGGGGTGAGGGGGGAATAATTTACTTCCTGAATCCTCCGAGTAATAATTAATTTACGTCATGGGATTTTCATAGGACTGGAAGCAAAAGGGAATAAAGTGGTAATGGAATAATCAAGACCTGGCTGGCAATGGTTTTCCTTA